GAAACAAAGCAAAATTATATTGTGACTGACGTAAGAATGAAGAAATATTACAATACTGTGCAAAATGTATTTATTTAATTAAAAACATGGACAGAATTGAAGTTATCCCTGACTGTGGGGATGTAATCATTTGAACATGGAAATGGCTGAAGTGTGTGGGTGTGTGTGATTCTAAAAAATATAGTGTGGTTATGAATGGATATGCTTGTCTTCCTGTGTGTGTTTGTGTGTGGGAGTGTATATGTGGGTGTGTGTGGGTAGCATAAACCTGCATTTTGTAACATTTCAGCAAGTTCAGATTGTAGCTCCCACCAATATGTAAAGTGATCACTGGGGCATTCAGGAATGAAAGTGAACAGAGAAGTCTCGGCCTATGTAGCATGGTGGTTACATATGAAAAGTGGCACAGTTTGTCCTCAGTGTAGAGGCAGTGACATTACTCATTATGTTTTCAGAAATGTAAATGCAACTTTGGCCTGATGGTGGCACTAGAGTGCTCGAGGCATAGCCCCCAAAATTGGTGTGTCAGTTGTGGAGAGAGTAAGCTTTTAATGTGCCAAATCTATTTAATTTTTGGTGAACTGTTTTATGGCTTGTTGTAGACGTCCATGGCATATTAATAATAATAATAATAATAATAATAATAATAATAATAATAAAAAAGAGGAAAACTGACAATTGCAGTAGATGCCTTTAACCCATTTGGTGTTTGGCCCCAAATATAATAATAATAATATAATAATAATAATAACCATTGCATGCTTGTCATTCCTTACAGGATCTCAGTGAGAATTACACCAACAGTCACAATACACGTAGCGCTGCTGGGTGATCCCCGGCTGTCATTTTGCACCTGAATTCTCATGACTGGGAAGCTGGGATCGAGAGCGCGGCCATTACTGAGCCACTTGTACTGCAGCCTAATTAGATGACCAAGAGTGAGGGGACCAGGTTGGCAGTTTTTACAGAGCTCTGGGGAAGCCCTAACTCTTTCCAATTAGTGCCTGAGGATCATTAAAGAACACAATCAGGGCCTTTATTTAATATTTCACATGAAAAACAGAATGTCTTACAGCATGGTGTCCCCTCCATATTTTCATAGAAAGTGTGATTTTTTTTTTTCAGAACTGTTCTGTCATTTTTGATGTATTTCTGGCTTATCCAGCTTTTTAAAACAATACATTTCTGGGTTACATTTCTTAAACCCTCCCTTGGGACATTTTAAGCAAAAATGGGGCCAAAAAAAAAAACTTAAAATGTGAGTGACGTGACATTCATCTAATGAAATTTACACCCACTGTCTTATGGGAAGAGAAAATGCCAGCCTCTGTCTGCAGGCTATGTTTTAGACTACTGAAAGCCTGAAAAATGGAGACATTGAATTTATTTGTTGTTGGTGAGATTTTTTTTTTTTTTTAATTAGAACCACTGTCAGCACACTCATTCATGCTCATAGTCACAGGTCACTTCTGTTCACTGATGCAATGGGAAAAGCTGTTCTGTTTATCCAGAGCTCATTAACATATGGCAGAGGTTCTGTTGTCACCCTCCTAACCTCCAGAAGCTGATCAGCTGTTCCTCGTTTCTATCACACTTGCAGTCCTCATTGAACCTCTGTCACTGAGTCTGAGAAATGGCACTCTTTACCTCAAACAGCATGAAACAATCAACTTCCGAACTCATTTGACACGGGCAGCTCTCAGTGTTACAAGAGTGATGCTCCAACTGTTCAATTGAAAGGAATGGATGGGAATTTACCAAACAAAATTACTGTGGTTTAGTACTTCTGTAACATCAACATTTTGTGGAAATTGTTGGATTAAATGTTTTTCTTGAACCTTTCTTTACAGTCCCTGAAAAAAATGTCTTGCCACTTCAAAGGCATCCATTTTGTTTCTTTATGGGGCGCTCTATGGTAGGTGTGCAAAGTGTTAATGCTTGCAGCTTAAACCATTTCGTCCTACAAAGAATCAGTATATGAGACTGGGCTCCTCTGGGGAGACACAGTGCAGCCTTTTGGAATGAGCTTTTCAGAGTGTTAAGTCAGGTTGTGGGGAAGAAGATAGGCTTTACTCACATTGTCGGCTGAGTGCCATGACTGTGTGAACCGTAAGCTACTTACACACACAATTTTGCTAGCAGACAGACCCAATAATTTTATCGCCTAAATTAAGAGCAATGAAATCTTTACATCCTAGAGAATAGTTTGTGTGGTATATCAGAGTGTATTGACCAAATACTCACCTGATCTTGTGCTTCCCTGAATCTGTCATTCCGTTTCCTCCTCGCAAATATGAGCAGATAACCTTTTATTTATAAAATATGTAAACTTAAATTCTGGTAATATATTATTATTACCGCACCTAAAGGAGAAGAGGTATTGTTGTCGGTGGTACTTGTTCATTGCTTGCAGAAATTTTCAATTTTGTCAAGTATGTTAGTCAATTTCTTGCTTGTTTGTTTGCTTGCTTACTTGCTGGCTTGTGTCTGCTCCATATGTTTCAGTTCAATACCAATCCTCACCAAACTTCCCAATCAATTGACTTAAAGTCCAGAATAGACATCTATTGCTTTTGTTGCAGGTGAGTCAAAGTTAAACTGAGATATAGGCCAAAATTCAAAAATCCTTTTTCCTCATAACTTCCCTCAGAAGTCCAGCTGACATCAAAATGAACTAATTTGATTGGTCTTTCAATGCTGCATCACACAATGTGAAATTTAATGTGAGGGGGTCATATCATCTTAGCGCTGGGGGGGGGGGTAAAATCATTGGGCATTAGGCGAAAAGTTTAAATGTCCCTAAAATTGTCCATACTCAAAGGATTGTCTCCAAATTTGATATATGACATTTTTTCTGGTAGCTATATCTTATTTTCAGTTAAAAATGGCGCGAGTTGGTTTATTGACTTAAGGTGTTCATGACAACAAATGTTCATATCAGAAGCGATGGGGAATTTGACAATAGGTATCATCATTTACTAAAGCCACAATTCAGGAGAAATTTCTAAATCAAACTAATGATAGATACGCATTGGTCTTGGTTAAATTGCGAGCGATTTAACATCCTTGCCTGAAGGTCAAGTTTTAGCTGGCTGAAAAACTGGAAACCGATGTTTGGCCTTGACTTCCTCAAAGTGGTCATAGAGACTTGAAATCTGGCTTTTAATATTCATATTTGAATTCCATAGATGTAAGACTTTCATTCCATTTAACATGGTTTAAGCAAGCTGATGTGACTGATTCATTTGTCTGTTTCTTAGCGTGTTTGGCAGTAGTGTAGCATAAAAACGGTTTGCTCAAATTGCACAAAATTTTCGGGTAGGGTATTCAATGGTCCAAGGATCACATCATTATTTTTTGCTCCTAACTGGGTCAAGGTCAATGTCACTGAAAAAATTTATTTAATGATAATAAGGAAAAAATAATGGTAACATTCTGAAATCTACTCCAATCAAGTTCTAACTGGATTCAAAACTTGCATTTTTCAGTTCCACTTCCAACCAGTCTTGAGTATGAGAGGAAATTAAATACCAGTCTTGACATCCTGCAGCATCAGTTAAGTAATTGTAATGTGCCCAAACACAGGGATGTCTTAGCGAGTGGGCTAGAGATTTCAATTGCTGTGCTTGAACTCAGTTGTTAACTGTTAGTTTGCTTGGAAGCGACTAAGTGCTCATATGTATTTGTAGTGTTCATTCGATTCTGTGTGAATTTTTGCATTGCTCTCTGTTTCAGTACAAAAAAAAAAACATTAGAAATATTAGAAATAAACATATTAATGCTATAGAGGCCTCGAATTGGAAGATTTGTCAGGAAAGATGAACCAAAAAAAATAGTTGTCTTTGTCGCTTAGCATGGTGTTTCCATCTTTAAAAAGGAAGCTCGATGAAAGTGTAATAAAACGCCTTCTATTTTCTGACAGAATAGGCAGCGTCATTCAGTCAATCAAAATGGAGGCCTTTGATCTGCAGTGACCTGTCTATAGAACTGCTGAATATATCATTTCCCTGCGATCATGAAGGCAATTTCCTGTCTTAAGAAACCAGCAGCCACGGGTGGAAATGACTAAGAATTGTGATTTTACACGAGTACCTGGCTTTTATTTTTAGTGTGTAGCAGCCTGGCTTAGTTGTGAGTCATCGAGTTTGCTCATTACATCCAGGAGAGTGCACCTGAGTGCATTATGAGTCATCTGTGGCTTTACACTCTTTTGGTACTAGGGTGCATAATGGTTGGGACACTGGACTGTGACATACTCCTTGTTCTTGGGGTTTGACTCTCAGTTTGTACAAGTTACTTGACTTCATTTGCTTCAGTAAGCATCCAGTCCATTAAATGGATATTTCTTCTCCTTGAAAACCTCTGTTTGCTGCAGTTTATTGAACTGTGCAGCTTTTACTGTGGACAGGATAACTGCATCCACGCTTCATTTAACTGAGAGTGGAGGCCCCAGCTTTTCTGACCAGGAAAGCTGGTGTATCACCGTTTTCTGACCTCTGCTGGAGCACCGCAACCCTACACACTGTCAACAAGTGGCACTATCAGACATGGGAATGGACGCAAAGCTTGATTGATCATGACTGTTATTAATTGAGCCTGAATGAATGGTTTACATTGAAGAATCAAGACCTTTTGGTCCTTCACTACAAGGGTTCATTAGGCTTACAGGCTTTAGGTATAGTTCTACACTAATGAGTTACAATTTGTGTATAAAAATTGCTATCCTGCCATTACATTACTTTACATTACTTTACATTTCACATATGAGGAAGAAGCAGTAAGTCTGATTCGAGCCTAGTGGCCCACCGGGCATGAAGCATGTGGCATGAAGCGACTAGGAGTATTACTACTCCCCCTGGATGGGATGCCAGTCTATCGCAGGTATTCCCAAAGCTCTTAGTCAAGTTTCCCTGACTATTTGCTGGTACCCATTTATACACCTGGGTAGAGTGAGGCGTGGAGTGTGGGAGTGAAGTGTTTTGCCCAAGAACACACCGCGAAGGCTGTGGCTGGGGCTTGAACTCAGGACCTTTTGATCCCAAGTCAAGCCTACCTAACCACTGCGCTATCGCGCCTCCCCAATTTCACATTTTCACATATGATGCACTGCCATATTACTGCATCTATGGCTACATGCCTCATGTCATTCCTAACCCTGGACCGATAATTTCTTTGTATATTTTTATTTATGCCGCCTCACAGCAAGAAAGTCGGGGGTTCAAATCCAGCCAAAGGCCTTTCTGTGTGGAATTTGCATGTTCTCCCCATGTTCTCGTGGGTTTCCTTCGGGTACTCCAGTTTCCTCCCACAGTGCAAAGACATGCATATCAGGCTCACTGGAGGCATTAAATTGCCCCTAGGTATGAGTGACTGGTGTGTAAATAGTGTGTGCGCCCTGCGATGGATTGGCGAGCTGTCCAGGGTGGGTCCCTGCCTTTACCCATAGTCAGCTGGGATAGGCTCCAGCTCCCCCCGCGACCCTAGTGAGGAATAAGCGGGTATAGAGAATGGATATTTATTTATTTATTTTTCTAACACAAAGGTAAAAGAATCCATTTTGGATTTTGAGATTTCAGACTTCTGACTCAGAACTGAATCCAGCTTCTCTAGAACTGTGCTGGTTTTTTAAACACAAGTTCTTTGAATTCAATTGCCAGAATTCTAGGCTAAGGACAGTATCTTTTGTTGGCACATTGAATAGGTTTCAGTCTTGAGTGCCTTGCCATTTCTTATGGGTAGACAATCTGAGGCTGACTGTTGCTGTGGCAGCCGAAGAATCCTGTCCTTTTGCAACGTACCGATGGCAGTGGCTTTCAAGTTGAAGGTCAGTTCCATTGTCAATTAGTGTCGTTATATGTTGCTGGTGACTGAAGAATGCCACAATTTGTTCGATTTGGACCCCTCTCTGGAGGTTCCCCATTGCAAGGAAATCTAATTGGATGCCAGTAATTCTTAATACGGAGTCGAAAGGATGAGAGAGGGAGAGCTGGGTGAGATCTGTGTTAGGGTGGGGACTGCTTTTCTTGGCAGAAATGGCGTCTGCGATTCTCTCTCCGTTCAGTTCATTTCAATTTAATCCAAATGCTGTTTTATGGCAGAGTAAAGCATAGCAGTATTGCCAAATCAGTCATGTACAGTATCAAAATTCTACATGTATCTCTCCTTTCTCTCTCTCTCTCTCTCTGTCTTCCCTATTTGCTGGTTTGTCTCTGGTTCTCTCCCATTCTCTCAATCTGTGTCCTTCAACCTTTATCAGTTGCTTTGATTATCTGAATTTTTTATTACTAATGAACTCAACTCAAGATTGTTTACAAAAAGCTGTTGAAACACTTTCCCCCATAACATAAAATATATGAAGACAGCCTTTATTTTTGTTTCCAGGAAGTGCGGTATTTCTGTGTTCACAAAACAGTTTTGATTGGATGAGCCATTACAACAGTTTACTGGTTAGTCATCCATTAACATGGGGTGAAGATAATGCTTATACTCATGAACATTTATATATCTGCACATGTCCATATACACTTACGCATTTATAAAACATTTTCTCCCTCTCTTCATCTGTCTATCTCTCTCTCAACTGCATGAAACTCATTGTCATTCTCTCTATGAGCTATATATACACACTTCCATTATATGAGCACATTAGTCTTTCATGGTTCAGTCTTTCAGAGCAGTGAAGCCATGCTGCGTCGCTGAAGCAGAACAGTTACCCAGCATCCCTCGGGTGACACCCGCACAGGAACATCGCCAGCCGAGGGGAAAATAGTCGCTGCGTCCAAATCCCCAAAAAAATAACACTTGCCATTCTCAGCCAGTCTCGTGGCTTTTCACCGAGGTACTGACACACCCCCCCCACCCCCCACCCTGCCTTCCAACAGCCCTTCCCTGCATCCCCTGCAAAGCGCAGATGGCTTTTTGAAACAGGAGAAGGAGAGGGAGGGAGGAAGGGGGTTAGACAGAGGAGCAATTGGGGAAAAAAGGGAGGCAGTGGGTTTGGCAGGCAGGCAGCCGGGCAGGCTGGTGGGAGGGGCCTCTTTTTGTGATGAAATGTTGCATAGATAATGCCAAAGAGGGTCTAAGTTCTCCGTTTCCATGGAGACCTTTGTGCCTGGCTGGGCTTCTGTTCTCTGTAGTGTGATTTAGGGCAGTCTCTCCCAGGCTGGCGAGTGCTGGAATCCTCTCAGATAAGAGAGAGGCAAGCGAAGGTAAAGCGAGGGATGGTAAAGTCGCAGAAAGTGGACTGACTGCTCTCAAACCGGGCCCTCGTCTGGATTATGGTTCATGTGCCGGTAAATATTCTTTATCTCACTTCCCGGCGTGCTTGAGAACGGTGTTAGGGGTAACAGGTGTTTTATTTTATTTATTAATTTTCTGGAAACATTAGAGAGCATGTAGATGTGTGGTATTTTCTGGGCTTTTTTTTGGGTTCTGTGTTCATGAGTGGCCCACTGCTGCAGAGAGATATGATAAGATAAAGCTAATACTTGCTCCATATTACTTTTTTTTTGAGATCGAGATGCAATAACCGAGTGATAAACCAGTTAAATTCTTGGGGTTCCCATATTGTTCAGCTGTGAATGTGTGCCTGTGCGAGCTAATGTAGGAATATTGTAATTGTAATATAGATTTCATGGTGCAATGAGGAAATAAGTTTTCAAAGTGGGATTTGAATAAATTTTAAGTTTTTTTGCAAGCTTAGTCTGTTGGACCCAACTTCTATTTTGCCACCCTGCGATGTGGGGGCTGATTGGTCTTGCCTCAGTCCATAGAGTTTTAAACAGTCACAGTGAGTGGCGGGCTTCTCCTATGGGGGGTGGGGATTATACGACTACGGCCATGATCATCTCACTCAGTCCATGACTGGAGTTTTGTGGAGATCAATAATTTCAGCAATTTAGGGGGATCCAAATTGGCAGAGATCAGTTCAGCTATCGACCTGTTTTGTAATTAACGAATGAATCCAAATCTTGGGGAGAATTAAAGCAGACTGATTACCTTTCTGCCAATTATGTCATCTTATTTATTTACGTATTTACTTAAAGCGTTAAATGACAGGTACTCTTTGCATAGCAAACATATCCATTTATTCAGGTGAGCTTTTTACTAAAGCTGTTCAATATGGGTAGGGAATTGATCTGCCAATTCCCTGGTTACATGCTGCTGTAGCTGTGGCTTGGCAGTTCCGCTGCGTGGGCCTTTGTTAATAATCCTGTTGACTGGGTGTACTCGTGGCATCCATCATTTGGTTCCTTGCCCAAAATGACATGTGATGCAGCTGGGATCCAGATTTCAGGTTAACCGCCCCACAGAGTGTCTTTGACCCCTGCGGTGAAGGGAGCTAATTCCAGTCCTGTCGCATTTGGGCTTTAATTGACAGGCATCGTCCCGGGTGATGCGGACCCTTCTGTTGCTGCTTTGGCCTGCATATTAGCTCTGATTACTGCCACTGAGTGCTGGCCGTGGGATTAATTGTCAAATTTATTGCCGCTGCTGTTTGTTCAATTTGAGTCCATGCAGCGTTTTGTATCTGACTAAACCGGTCTTCCCAATGCAGGCGTTGGACATTTTTTTTCCTTTTTTTGCTTTTGGCTAACTTAGCTTTGTATAGTATGCGTTTTTTATAAAAATGTACCACCAATATAACTAATTTGAGATGTACTTGACATTACCCTGGCCTGCACACCAGTTGCAATTTCTGCAATAATTCCGAATAGAAGTCAACAGGTTGTTCATGTGTTTTATCTACATCTGATTGTGTTTTGATAGGTGTATAATGAGATTTAAAAATCAAACTGTAACTTGGATTAGTATTTTATTCGGAATGGACACAAAGCTGTGTGATTTGATTGGCCAATAAAACCAATATTGATTACCACAGGAATAATGGCTGCGCAGAAGCAGTGTGCGGTTCTGTCTGTATTACCACAGGAATAATGGCTGCGCAGAAGCAGTGTGCGGTTCTGTCTGTATTACCACAGGAATAATGGCTGCGCAGAAGCAGTGAAAAAGGTTCTGTCTGTATTACCACAGGAATAATGGCTGCGCAGAAGCAGTGTGCGGTTCTGTCTGTATTACCACAGGAATAATGGCTGTGCAGAAGCAGTGTGCGGTTCTGTCTGTATTACCACAGGAATAATGGCTGTGCAGAAGCAGTGTGCGGTTCTGTCTGTATTACCACAGGAATAATGGCTGTGCAGAAGCAGTGTGCGGTTCTGTCTGTTTCGCTATATCAGTGTTTCAGGACCCTGGAGCTCACTGCTCAGCCGACATCGATGGTATCCCAGAACACTCTTTTGGACCCCAGCTGTGCAGTGGCCTATTCAGAGTCTCATTTCACTGTGAATGTAAAGGCTTCATTTAACTTTAATAACTTGCTAGGTTGGGCTGTGTTGCTTGGTTAATGATTAGTGACTTGCCTACTCACTTTTAGTCTTAAAACAATAGTTTGTCTTGCTCGCTAGCCGACATGCAAGTGGTTGAGGGTATGTTAAGCCATGTAAGAAATGTTTGAATTGATTTAACCCCTTCTCACTCCAGTAACATTTGCCTAAAATGCCCTTTTTAAAGGCGTACCCAAAGTAAATTGAAAGCTGTTCTTGTTTTTAACTTCCCCAGACGGGCCGTCGGAGTGACAAGGGGTTAATTATGAAGTACAGAAGTACTATGTGGCCTATAGTGCCCTCTCTCCAGGAAGTTTATGAAATACAACAACATCTATCTTTATGTTTTACATACTGTTAAATACATTAGACGCATATCAAACAATGTCACTTCCTGAATGTGCGTTCCCATTCCTCAGATATGAATACGTTTGCACCTTTCTTTTTATGGGTCATGTTGCGACTGAATCAGCACTCTGAATCAGCACACTGAATCACCAGAGACCACTTAACAGAGACTCACTTGTGCATTTTCGTTGCTGCCTCCCGCTGTTTGCTGACTGGGGCGTCTTTAGCCTTGTGTGGAGGCGTTTTCAGCTCAATTTTCTGTCCTCCACCCCAGTCCTGCAGTGGTGTTTCGCGTGAAAAGATTCATTATGATGCTAAACTGCGTGTCTTTTCTCTGAGAATGA